CTTATCATCCACAAACCGATGGTCAAACCTAGAGGACGATTCAGTCGTTGGAGGATTTGTTACGTGCTTGTGTACTAGAGCAAGGTGGTGCTTGGGATAGTTATTTAGCGTTGGTTGAGTTCACCTATAATAACAGTTTTCACTCAAGTATTGGTATGGCGCCATTTGAGGCTTTGTATGGTCGGAGATGTCGAACACCTTTGTGTTGGCATGAAACTGGTGAGAAGTCGGTTGTTGGGTCGGAGATGGTACGACAGACGACGGAGAAGGTGAATTTTATTTGGGAAAAGATGAGAGCTTCTCAGAGTAGGCAGAAGAGTTATCATGACAAGAGAAGGAAAGATCTTGAGTTTCAAGAAGGCGACCATGTGTTCTTGAGAGTTACACCGGTTACGGGTGTGGGTCGTGCCTTGAAGTCGAAGAAGTTGACTTCTCGTTTTATTGGTCCGTATCAGATTGTTTCACGAGTGGGTGTTGTGGCGTATCGTGTGGCGTTGCCTCCGAATCTTTTGAATTTGCATGATGTGTTCCATGTTTCGCAACTTCGGAAGTATGTTCCGGATCCGTCATATGTGATTTCTATAGACGAGGATGAAGTAAGAGATAACCTCACGGTTGAAGTTTTACCGATTACGATTTTGGATCGTGAAATTAAGAAGCTAAGAGACAAGGATATTGCGCTTGTGAAAATAGCATGAGGAGGTGTTGCGGAAGGAAACATGACTTGGGAATTGGAGAGTAAGATGCGAGAGTCGCATCCGGAATTGTTTGGATCAGGTAATATTTTCAAGGACGAAAATTTCTAAAGTGGGGGAGAGTTGTAACGCCCCAATTCTGAATTTCCAATTTTTGCTGAGTCTTTTGAATTATTTTGATTGATTATTATTTCATTTGTGAAATTTGAATATTAATATGTTAAGTGTGCATATTATGTTATTTCATTATTCGGAGAGTTTTGGAATTAATTAGAGGGTGTTTTAGATAATCCTTGATTAGTTGTTATTTGAGAAAAATAGAATAGAAAGAGTATAAGTGGGAATAGAGAGAAAAGAAAAAGAGATAGAAAGAAATAGAAAGGAAAGAAGAGAAAGAGGAGGAAGAGGAGAAAAACCTAGAACCATCAAGAATCAAACTTCTAAGCTTCGATTAATCGGGTAAGGGTGTGAAACTTTATTATTCTTTCGATGTGCATGATTATGTATGTTCTGTTGGTTTGATTTTGGATTGGGGAGAGTTTTGCTCATTTTCCATTTTTAGGTCGAATTTGATTTAAGCGATAGAAACCGAGTTTTAACGGTTAAAAATGAGAATAAGTGGTAAAGTTTAGTCGGGGAATGTTAGACTAAGGTGGTTGGAACTGGTTTGGTGAGAATCGGTTGATTTTGGAAGGATTGGGCGATTTTGACAGTTAGGGATTTCTGAGTTCGCAGATTCGCTAGCATTCGCTAGGCGAATGGGAGCGAAGGTTCGCCAGGCGAATCCCAGCGAGTGGGTAGCGAACCAAGTCAGTAGCCCAACTCTGTCTTCGCCAGTGAGTTCGTCAGGCGAAGGAGGCGGCGAGAGGCTTTTCTAGGCGAGTGTGGTAGCGAACCAAGTCAGTAGCTACTGTTTGGCTTCGCGAGCGAGTTCGCCAGGTGAGTGTGGTGGCGAGCATTCGCCAGGAAAAGGTTGGCGAATGTGACAACATTTTCTTTTGTTTCCTGTGCTTTCCATCCAATTGTCAATTGTTTGGTTTAATGATGTTTAATCCTTTCTTATTATGCATAGTTGTATGTTGTGATATGAAATGTCGTGGGTAGCCGTATGGCGTGAATCCTAGATTGTGAATCATGGAGTGTGAAATGTGGTCGTTTGGCAATTTTGTGCATTTGTTTGAATTGAATGAAAATGTATGATGAGATTGATGTGAATGTGCACAATTGTATGTGCTTGTATGATGTGGAAAATGCATGATTATATATATGTGAATATGTATGCATTTCAAGAGTGTTTAGAGTCGTTTTGCATGTGAAGCATCATGATTGCATTTTTGTGTGTCTGATCCCGCGTAGGATCTGCAGAAACGATCGTGTGCCCTTGTGGGGGTGTGAGTGATGGTTTATATTTGATTCCATGGAGAATCTACAGAACGATTGTGTGCCCTTGTGGGGTGTGAGCAATTAGATTGTGTGCCCGTGTGGGGTGTGAGCAATCCTGAAACATCGTGTGCCCATGTGGGGTGTGAGCGATGGGTGAACATCGTAGGCCCGATGAGGAGTTACTTCGGTAACGAGCGATGGTTCCATTTGGTTCTTCAATTGAACCTGCTGAGTGAGTCGGTACCGCATTTGCATCTGCATAGAGTCGTGAGTCGGTCTCTATGAGTTGCATTATCATCTTCATATGATGTATTGGTGTAATGAACATAATCGTGTATGTTTATGTGAATTGTTGAAGTAAACATAAGTGTAAATGTTTATGTGGAAATGTTGTGAATTGTGAAGTATGAATGGTGAATATATGCATGATGGATATGCTTGGTGAATTATATGTATATGTTGCGATGTATATATGATTGGATGTGATGAGTTGCGGTGAGAAATATGTTATGTGTATTCCATGTTGGTGTTTATAGATATTAAATTATATACATTGTTTGTTATGATAATGTTTATCACCCTTCTGCTGTTTTATGATGCTCTATGAGGCATTGCAGAGTAGGTTTGCTGGAGGTCTTTTGTGAAACGTGGCTTCATTCTTTTTGGTCGGTTGGCTCTGATATGTAGCACCGGGTTGTTAGGAATTGTTTTGGTTCTTTTGTGATACATCTGTGTATGTATCTGCTGGTGAATGTTTTGTAAACATGACTTATGACTTGAATTAAATTGTTGACGTATATAATGTTTATATGAATGAAGTGATTCAATGTTTAGATGTTTCCGCTTTTATTCTAAATATTGATATGTGGGTTTTAAGGACTAAGTTCCTTTGTTGTGGTTTACCCTTTGTTGCATATCCCTATGAGCAGGTTTTGTATGTGTTTTTGAATTTCCTTGATAATGTGATGTGCCTCTTTTATACCATGTGTTAATTTATACTCTGATGAAAATTTTTATTAAGTGCCTAAATGATTTAATTGTTTATTTGAGGGTATAGAAAGGGGGTGTTACAATAGGTCCATTATTAGGTCATTGTTATGTCAAATCAAAATCCATTGTAAATTATAAGTCATTGTTATAACATTAACATTAACTTTCAACCATTAACACAATAACATGAATACCATAACATTAACTTTCAACCATTAAATTTCCACCATTACATCATTGTTATGTCAAATTACAAAGAACATTATGAAAACACCATAACATCATCACATGAATCCAAGGTAACCAATACACCAACATTACACCATCAGTCAACATACAAACCTAATCAACTATATCTTATTTCGTCATTGTTGTTACAACAAATGCAATGAACATTATAAATAACAAAATCTAGGTAATCTTCAACTGTTTCTTCAGGATCTTCATCTTCAATTCGTCCTCGTTTGTTTTGTGGGTGTTAACCATCTCTTTCTCCTCATTCAAGTTCTTTACTAGTGAAGAAATTGTATGTTTTTTCCTAGGATCCATTTCCTCATGCAATCAATCAAAGTGAGTGAATTTTTTGTATCTTTGAATCTTGTACATCCCACATCCATAGAAACGGTGGTCTGGGTTCGACGTTGTCCATGTCGTCATCAACGGAGCGTCGAGATCACACTTGCATACGTACCTTGAACGACTTAAGGACATGCTTCCACGGCTACAACCGAACTATTGAGACATTTTAATGGAAGCATTTGAAGTTGACTTGAAGAAACTGAATGAGAAGATGACGAACAATGACTGGAGGAAGAAGAAGACGAAGAACAATTCAAAAGGGAGAAAGGAAGACAAAATTTTAATCTGATGTAATTTTAATAAAATATCCAAAATTTATAAACAATTATATTGATGTTTTATTTAATTTAAAAACATGACATGAAAAACATTTGATGACATGGAAAACATTTAGTGATATGGAAAAAATATAGGACTGTCACCTCATTAAAAAAACATGACACATCATCAAAATTGTATGGGAGACCAAATAAATGTAAAATGGATCTAACTTGAGAGACCAAAATCGCAGGTTTTGTAATAGGGGAATCAATTGTTTAAATTGCTCAAACTAGAAAGACCAAAAATGCATTTAAGCAAAATATTTATTATCTAATATAAAATAAAAGAATGATGTAGAGATGAATTCATAAATTGTATTACTTAACGACTTTTCGATTCATTTTTCAAATAGTCATCGGTTGTGATAAAAAAATTTAAGACTAAAACTTCTTAAAAAAATTTTAAGAGACTAAAAACAAAATTTAAAATATTTATAGATATCAAAATCATATATATATATATATATATATATATATATATATATATATATATATATATATATATATATATATATATATATATATATATATATATATATATATATATATATATATATATATATATATATATATATATGATGGTTGCTAAGGAATGTTTAATTAATTTATAAAGAAAGAAAAAATGATGTCAAAAAATATGTAGGAGATCAAAATTTGCTAAATTTACAATTAAAATAAAATACAATTAACTATTTAATTAACCCTTTAAACTATCATTGAAAGTAAAGTTTCTCGGATTGTATTTATCTTTAATGAAAAGTTGCTCCAATTAATTGTACCGAGTTGAACTCAACACATATAACATTGTGTGTGGCGCAAAATACACCACTACGTGGCAACACTGTTACCGTTATATTTCCCTCCATTCCAAAACCTTCTAACTTACGCAGTAAGCGCAAATCAAATCACAAATCATACTCCCCCACCACATAATATAACAACGTACACCTCCCAGCGCACGTTAGACACAACCCCAACTAATATATGAAAAATACAACACTATAAGCGCGCTTAGTACTTTTCTTTCAATCCAATGCGATTAACTTCCTCAATGGGATTCGGGTCGGGTTCTCTAATGTGGTTCCGAAAGGGTATTCGGATCCACGATAACCCGGCACTCGATTATGCTTCCCGAGGATCTTCTAATCTCTATCCTCTTTTCATTATTGACCCGCATTATATGAAACCCGACCCGAACGCTTTCTCGCCCGGTTCTTCTCTAGCGGGTCTCAACCGTATCAATTTCTTGCTTCAAAGCCTTACCGACCTTGATCTTAACCTCAAGAAGCTTGGTTCTCGATTGTTGATACTCAAGGGTGATCCTCATGAGGTTCTCATTCGATGCTTGAAAGAGGTAATGAAAATATTCAAATGTTGATGTTATCATAACTATTTGTGTTGTTGTTGTTGCATTGTGGAAGTTGATTCAGTGACTATTCGTGTGAAAAATCACTTTTTGAATTAAAACTCGTTTTTAGTGGCTTTAATTGAGTGTTTATGCTTGTGAAATTAATTAGAACCTAAAATAATGATTTTTGTTTTGATTAAGATCAAAAGCTGTTTTTTTAGTTGCTTTTGGAAGAAAAAAAAACTTTAATGAGTATGGTATATAAGTTAGGGAAAAAAGATTTTTATTAGTATAGACAAACGTGATTGTGAATGAAGTTGTTCTTAAGTTCAGTTCACATACAAGTGATTTGTATTTGGATGTCTCTTTAGTAATCACAAAGCAAATTTGACATGAAACTTTGTTTATGTTTAGCTTTTGGAAGGATCAAAAGCATTTCTAAAGGATAGAATTGATTTTGGAATGATTTTGAGGTGTTTGGTTCTTCTAAAATAGAATTGATTTTACAATAAAATTTGTAACTTTTGAAAATAATAGTGATTTTTAAATTGAAATTTACTATTCAACTCAATTTTGCATAAAGTTATCCAAACATAAATAACTTTATATTCTAACTCACTTTTAATCAGAATCAATTTCAAAGTTAATTTGTTTACAGCAGAAAAAGTTGATTTTGACATGTTTTTTTTCTCAAAAGTAAAATTGATTTTTCTTCGAGAATTGATTCTAGCTAAAACTAGGATTTGTAGCTTTTGAGTTTAAATCTATTTTTTACATTAAAATTTGTTGTTCAAATCATTTTACCTTGAACTCACTTTTAATCAGAATCAATTTTACAAAATCAATTCACTCTGAATCAATTCTCGTCACGTCACCGTAGAACCTAACACACATAGAAGTGCAATTTGTTTAATATCACTTCTAGACCATGACAAAATCACTTTTAGCCTGGGTAAAAAGAAAACAGAAAGTTTACTCTCTCAAACAGCTATTTACTGTGGTACTTTTTTGGAATATATACAAAACTTGTGGTCGTTAATTCTGATAGTTATTTTGTTGATGCAGTGGGACATCGGAAAACTATGCTTTGAGTATGACACTGATCCATATTATCAAGCTCTGGATGTTAAAATCAAGGTAATGTAAGTTGTTGACGGTTATTTTCAATGTACTATATGTTGTAGATGAGATTTAGTAGTGAGTTGAAGGCATTTTAAATTTTGTTTTGTTATTACAGGACTATGCTCTTAAGGCCGGGATTGAGGTTTTCTCTCCTGTAAGCCACACTCTTTTTGATCCATCAGATATTATACAGAAGGTGAGTTTGAAACTTGAAGAGATTAATCTTCACTTTAACTATTGATGAATTTATGTCATTTAAATGATCATTTTTTTGATGTTCTTGTGCAAATGCCAAAACAGAATGGAGGGAAGCCGCCGCTTAGTTATCAATCATTTGTGAAGCTTGCCGGGGAGCCGCCATCTCCACTCTCAACCAAGTATTCTTCACTTCCTCCTGTTGGCCATCTTGGAAGTTGTGATATATCTGAAGTTCCAACCGTCAAAGATCTTGGATATGAAGATGCTAAACTGGTGTGCATGTTGCATATTCAATTCTAATATTATAACTAATGAGAGATGTTCAAATAGGCTTCTAAAAAGCCTTGACCTTGTCTATTTAAATAATAGTGTGGTGTGGCCTGAGCCAGACGTAGCATAGTCCTTAGTTCCCAATCGGTCGGTCTGACTCATTCTCATTTCTAATTTTAATAATCCTTCAATAGCACCTAATGCGAGAAGTTAATTTCAGGAGGAGTTCTCTCCTTTCATAGGAGGTGAATCGGAAGCGTTGAAGAGATTGGAAGAATGCATGAAAGACAAGGTAATTTAAACATTCTAGTATTAAAATGTGAAAGGTTGTAAGCTCCATTCATGACTCGTGATGCCAATTCATTAGTGTATACATATAAAATTGATGTTTCTTGCTGAAAGATCAACAACTGATTGTAATATAAGATACTGTTTTAGTTTTTCTTTCTTTTGTATATTTTGTAACATGCCTTATTTCTTATTTTATGATTTCAGAAGTGGGTGGCAAATTTTGAGAAACCTAAGGGTAATCCATCAGCATTTCTTAAGCCAGCAACAACTATTTTATCACCTTACTTAAAAGTAAGTCAAAAACTGTATTCAAACGTATTGCTTAACACATCCCTTTTGCTTGACTGAACTACTAACCCTAATCGATACTCGGGCTCTTTTCTATATTTCTTACCAGTTGTTGATCTCCTTGGCAGTTTGGTTGCCTCTCTTCCAGATATTTCTACCAATGCATTCAAGATGTATACAAAAGTTTGCCAAAACATACGTCACCTCCTGTTTCTCTTCTAGGACAGGTCAGGTTATCTCCAGAAGTTAGGACAGTATTATTTTTTGAGTTCTACTTTTAGGAAACTAAAAATGTTGTTTTGTTGACATGTGCAGTTGTTGTGGCGGGAGTTCTTTTACACAGCAGCTTTCGGGACACCTAATTTTGATAAGATGAAAGGCAATAGGATATGCAAGCAGGTGAGACAACAATCGACGGTTACTAATATAGTATATTAATAACCTATTTTAAGTTTTGATTCAAAGAAGGGATTGCAAAGTTAAGAAATAGATGTTGTGTGTGTTTGGATGTGTTGACCATTTGTCTATTACTATGTGGTTAGTCATTATCCATGTTGTTTTGAAGTTTGTTATTGTAATCTATAGATTCCTTGGAAGGATGATGATAAACTTCTAGAGGCTTGGAGAGATTCTAAGACAGGATTTCCATGGATTGATGCTATCATGGTCCAGGTTTGGATTTTGACATCCTTTTCCAAATAAAGCAATTATAAATGGGGTTATTGCTTTGAAATCTCATGCCTCAAATCAAATACACTATGATGCTTTTATCAGCTTTCTCGTTTTGAAAAAACATTTGAAACAATTTTTCTATTGTAGCTACGCCAATGGGGTTGGATGCATCATTTGGCACGACATTCTGTTGCTTGTTTTCTAACTCGAGGAGATCTGGTATATGATATTGATACTTTCGAGCATACATCCAGCTTTTTATTTACTTCGTTTTCTATAACAATGTTTTTTGTTTTGATTATGGCAGTTTGTTCATTGGGAAAAAGGACGCGATGTCTTTGAGAGGCTTCTGATTGATTCAGATTGGGCCATTAATAATGGAAACTGGATGTGGCTCTCGTGTTCGTCTTTCTTCTATCAGGTAAGAACTAGTTCTGAGTTTTCAGTACAAAGTGATCAATTATTTTGTTTCAAAGGTTGAATCCTGAATTTTCCACCGATACTTATCACATGTTTTGTGTATGATGATCAGTATAATCGTATTTATTCCCCAACCACATTTGGTAAGAAGTATGACCCTAATGGTGACTTTATTAGGCATTTTCTCCCGGTTTTAAAAGGTAATTTTAATTTCAAGTTCATTTTATCATCTTCCATTATCTAGTAAATTCTCTATGATAAGATGTTAGAACTTAGAATTGAATGTGTGTGAGCAGATATGCCCAAGGCGTACATCTATGAACCATGGACTGCTCCTCCAAGCATCCAGACCAAAGCAAATTGCATAATTGGAAGAGACTACCCAATGCCAGGTCAGTTCTGTCATTTAGTGTTAGAATAGTATAATCTGTAGCACTGGCACCTCTGAACAAAGGCGTGTCCGGTAATCTACACGTGTCAGTGTCCGACATGACACATGTGATTATGTTCAATTTATTCATTTTTTCAAATTATTACTGGTGTGAACGTGTCAATGTTGGATGCATGTCTAGTGTCCGTGTCTGTGTTAGTGCTTAGTAAATTCGCCTCTAAATTAAAAAGACAATCTTAAAAGAACTCAATGATTGATCACGAAGTTCAGCCAATTGTGTCTACACCTCTGACAACAAAGATGCTGATGTACTTTTCTATTATGCAATAAATTTTGTGATAATACTACTAGTCAATGTTCAAAGGGCAGATGCTTTCTGCTTCAGTCACTCTGCTACACTCGAGCATCTACTCACTTATCAGCAAATATGAACCATATTCAACATCTAGTTTAACTATATTTTTTCTTGGTTTTCAAAAGTGTCATGTATAATCTGCTTTATTGCATCATATCATCCATTACTGTTGACTGCAGTTTATATTTCTGGTGAAAGTCTGTTACGTATGGAGCTTCATGTATTTGAAGATTTATTTGTTTGGATTAAGTGCTGCATGCAAGGGGAGCATTAGGTTCTCTTGAGAGAAAGTTGTATTTCTTTATTGCTATGATTTATTTCTTCTTGGTTGTTTCCTATCCGCGTTTCAGTTGTTTCTCACGACTCTGCAAGTAAAGAGTGCAAAAGGAAAATGGGCGAAACATATGCATTGAATAAATCGCTGAATGGTTTGGTTGGTGAAGATGATCTGAAAAACTTGAGGAGGAAATTGGATGAGGGTGAAGAACAAGAAACAAAAGCTAAAAAAAGATCTAGGCAACTGCTAATTGGCTGAGGGAAAGTTTTACTGATTTTTTCAACTGTCATCTTTAAGTTGTAGTTTTCCAAGTTCGCAACATTGCTTTGCATTTTCATGACATTTTGTGTACATGATGTAGTGCATATTTACATTACTAGTATCCTAACTTGAGACTGATACTAGTAGCGGTTGGTCTGTTGTCATGTAAAGTAGTCATATATAATGAAAATTTATTCACCTCAATCTTGAAAATTTATTCACCTCAATTTAGCTTTCCTACCTCGCTGGCCATTTGCAATATCAGAACGAATAGTCACAACTATAATATGTTGCTTGCCAATATTCTGTGCTCAGGCTAATGTTGAAATAATATTAGTGTGGGTTTTTGTTATCGTATCCGTAGGGATTGTGTGATATTACCGCTCTTCTACAGTTGTAATTATTTTAAACATAGAACATAAAAAGGTGTTTGTTTTGGTTTCTTAATGCAACAATCGAATAAAAAGTTATAATCAACGGTAAAGTTTCGGTTTTAAATCGATTGATAAAAACATGTCAAGATTAGAGCTCGATAATCCATTTCATACGTATTTTCTTAACAAAGCATGTGAACTCATTAACAATAAATATAATCACATATCCTCTCAAGATGTTTCATCTCTAAAATAAATTGTGAGTTTTATCATATTGATCCTTAGATGATCTCTTAACCTAACTATCAATATGATAACATTAAAGGATTGATATTAGTGAATATCAACTCACAAAAGTATCTCTAGACTTTGTTTATTGAATGATAAAAAAAACCTAGGTCAATAGTTGAAACATATCTCTCAATAATGATTCAACATAAATATTACATAAAAACAAGGTTTTTCACCATATATTCATCATCAACTTGTTCACATACAAAATATCAAGAGAAATACATACAAAAGTTAGGATTATCTACCACTAATCTTGTCAAAAAAGTGACTTAGCTACCTATAACCATGGTAGCTTGCTTCACAAGTTTCGGAAGGAGATGAATGAGCATCCACGTTGAAGAATTGAACTCAGATGTGAATACAACTTCTACGTGTAAAATCTCACTCTTTTGTGAAGAAATCTCAGAAAATCGGGTTTTGGTATGTAAAATTAGGTTATGATCCCCAAAATGATCAAAAGTACTTATATAATACATTCAAGATCTGTCATGTTTGCACTGCGAACAGATTATTCGCCTAGAAAACATCAAATTAGGCACCTGATGTGCCTCTGCACAGTTAAACTGCCTCTGAGACAACTCTGAAGTTCACCGTACGAATGATTATTCTCCTACAAGTTCGCACATCGAACTTATGACCCTTTAACTATTGCCTCAAGTCTGGGATGTCTCACTAGCTCTTCACTGATGCATTGCCACAACGAACCTTCACTGGCTTGTTTGCCCAGCGAACTTACAGGCCTTTTGCTACTGCCTCAAGTTTGGGAGCATTCGTTGGTTCTTTGCCAGTTGTTCGCAAAGCGAACGTTCGCTAGCAAATTCGCCCAACGAACTTACTGAAACTCTTCTCTTCCGGTGGCAACCTTGTCCAATTTCTTGTGTCTCACACTTTGATTATTTAATGCATACTTTCTGCATAATAGCACACAAATCAAAGGTACCAAAGTTATTTTCAAACAATTGAAGAATGGTAAACTTTCAAGTAGAAATTTCAATAAATCAACACAAAAGAGTTGAAAATGCCAATTATAAATGATAAATTTAAAGCAAGATTGGCATCTAACAAACTCTCCCCAACTAAATCTTTGTTTGTCCTCAAGCAAAGTATGCCTCTTATTGAAAATAAAATGATTTGCTCAAGCATTTAAATCAACCAAGAATGGATTTATGGCTCAAATAAACTACAAATGTACACAAGCAATGATTACAACTTCCTAGAATCGAACAATGAAAAAGAATTTAGTTCCTAAACAAATATCGAAAAATTCTTTAAGTAACAACTAAATTATCATGCTTGAATCACTCTAACACTCCTCTTCGAATAAGAATTGAAGGAAAAACGCGCTTACAAACGCGAGGTAATTTCACTCACCTGACAAATGATGCAAATACAAACCAATTCATAAATTATCTAAATAATCAATAAAGAAATTATAGAAGCAAGAAGATCACTAAGGTATTTAAAGGTTGTAGCATGATTATGTTCACAATAAAGGGACATTTATAAGGCTATTGAATCGAAGTTGCAAATATAAAAGAAACATTCATTACTCAAGGTTATGTACACAATACAACTTCATCCAACACTTTCTATTCTCTATTGCTCACCCTTCCAACACCTTTGTACAATTATTCTATTTTTTTCATTCAAACAAGCATTTTTTTTTTGTTTTTCACATTCATATTCATATTTTCTTTTCATGCTTGCTTGAAAATTTTTAAAACTTGTGAGTAACCCACCATTTTCTTTTCACTCTCCTCAGCTTAGTTTTTTTACCAAGCCTTAAGTGAATGTTCCTTACTTTTTGAGGCAAGGAAGAAAATTTAGTACAATTTCAAAGGTTCAAGAAAAAAATCTAGAATCCTACACAATTTAATAATGAACTATCTTTATCAATATGTACTAATACCAAGTTCATCATTAAACTAGGATCTAACTATTAAACTCAGCGGGGTTAGTAAATTCTCACTACTCGCGGGTAAGTTACTTTTGGAAATGGTTTTGCTCATTATCAACAAATGCCTTTATCATATCTAATGCTTCCACAAAATCAAACTAATCACAAGATAAAGCATGAATCAAATGTACTCAACAAAATTTATCAGTCATCCTATGCATTTAGTAGACAATGGAGGTTTCTCACCATTTTGCCTTTTGGACCTAAGTGATACAAGCATTCAACAAAGTTGCAACAAGAAACAAAATTACATTTGCACAAAGAAAAGAAGTTCTTAAACATTCTAACATACTAGAAAAAGGTAACCATGTACCTTTCCTATATTTATATGCTTAAATACTGTCATCACCATCCAAACTTAGGATAATCTTCATTGATGAACTATCATCACCGTCCTAGAAGTTCTCACAATTCCACACCAAAAAATGGAAACATTAAAATCCACATATGCATATCGACAATAAACACAATTAAACATACCAACAATTAACACAAATAAGCATATCAACAATAAAACTTTAAGAGTTTAACATTTCTTAACTGAAGAATTCAACTCTTAACAACCAAATAAAAGAAAAAAGAAAGTAAAGAAAATGCAAGTTGAACATTCATAACTGAAGCATTCAACTGATAATAATAATAATAATAACATTAATGTACTAATGGTGTAAAAACACCAACAAAAGTATTTGTACCCAAAAGTGGTACATACTACAACAATATCCAAAATAATCCAACAAGTGGATAAAATACAATATGAGATATTGGATCGAACTCTAGTATGGTCGAAGTCTGTTCACGAGTAATGCGTGTTGTAGTCAAAGTTTGTTCTAACATGCATTAGTCAATATTGCTAGGTTTGTTAGCATGTTGAATTGGGCCTTGCTTGTAAGCCCAATTGTTTAAGTTAGTTTGTACTCTAAGTTAGCTTGTAATGGATAATTATTAAAAAGACCATTAGGTTAGTGTGCTAATTTTCTTATAAATAGCATGTTAGTCTCTCATCTTGAATAAGGAAAAATAGGAAGATAAAATCCTAATTCAAGAGAGAGAAGTTATTTGTTATTCTTGTATACCTGTAATCTTGTTTGATAGAGAAAGTAAAGAATAGCAGTTAATAATCAATCCTTGTTGTTTCTTCTTGTTTTTCTTGCTTGTTTTCTTTGTTAACCCTAACCCTTGTGTGTTTCTTGAATATAAAGAAACCGTTTGTATTTTGTTTCAAGGAATTCTATTCACAACAAATTGGTACTGTGAGCATGAAGAAGATGACTTCAATAAAATATGAGATTGAAAAGTTCACCGGAGTGAACGACTTCGGTCTGTGGCGTTTGAAGATGAAAGCCCTACTGGTTCAGCAGGGTTGTTTGGAAGCGTTAAAGAAAGAGGCAGCCATGGACGCTGCATTAATGACAAAAGAAAAGATGGTAATGATTGAGAAATCCCACAACGCAATATTGTTGAGCCTTGGTGATAAGGTTCTTCGACGGGTATCAAAGGAGACTACAACATCGGGGTTATGGATGAAACTTGAAAGTTTGTACATGACCAAATCTCTGGTGAATCGATTCTACCTGAAGCAACCTTTGTATTCATTCAAGATGAGTGAATACAAAGTGTTGGCTGGGCAGTTGAATATGTTCAACAAGATGATTCTTGATCTTGAAAATATTGACGTGAAGGTCGATTATGAAGATCAAACATTGTTGATGTTATGTGTTTTGCCCAAAACACATGCTCACTTTAAAGAAACTCTCTTGTATGGAAGGGAGCCCCCAAGCTTTGAAGAAGTTTAATTAGCCTTGTATTCTAAGGACTTGAATGAACGAAAGGAGCATAAGCCTTCAATGGTGGGCGAAGGTTTGGTCGTTAAGGGAAAGTTCTTGTGAAAGGATGGTAAGTTTGACAAGAAGAAAGGTAAAAGTCAGCAGAAGTCTTATAGTGACGAAACATATAGTATTTGATGTTACCACTGTAAGAAGGAGGGTCACACAAAAAGTTGTGCCCTGAACATCTGAAAGATCATGGAGGTAAGGATAATGGCAACACAACCATTGTTTAAGATGACTTCGACTCATCTGAAGTTCTTGTGGTATCAAGTGGCGACTCAAGAAAAGAGTGGATTGTGGATTCAGGTTGCACTTGGCACATGAATCCAAACATAGAATTGTTCGAGGAGCTATGTGATCAAGATAGTGGATCGGTGCTACTAGGAAATAACAAATCTTGCAAAATTGCAGGTATTGGATATGTGAGATTCAAGCTCCATGATGAGTCAATAGGGTTATTGATTGAAGTCAGATATGTACCTGATTTGAAGAGAAATTTGATTTCTCTTGGCGAATTTGACAGGAAGGGATATGTTTTTCAAA